GAGATGTCTATTTCGTTCTCGTATTGTATCCATTTTTCGTGATTGCACATGTTGGCATGCTATAAGTTTAATTAAGGGCTATCCATATTTACTTACTGAGTTTATCTCATAGTTTTTCCTTGTCCACCATTTCAGGAAGTGAAACCGAGGACGGGGAAACCACGGGAAGTGACGAGTTAGAAGGCTAGCCATTTCGAGATTGACATAGATTTTAGAAATAAATCGTGATCTTGTAAGTTAGAGTGTATTTGGAGATTTTATGATATTAGAGCAAATTTTAAAGATTTGATCTTCAGATTTTGATGGTATCAGAGTGTGAATTGGATAAGTTCCGAGCCTTGTGCATTTGTGGGACCCGTCTCACGAGTGCACGGCGTCTGCCACGTCTCCGGATTTGGGTTTTGGGGCGTGACATGGGCCCTTCATACTTTTGTAGCGAGCTCAGATTCAGTTGCATCTTCTAAAAGCAGTTCCAATAAAGGATATCCGGTGAGTTACCAGTATCAATGAAGACCTTGTTGACATTATGATTGCCTATATGGACCGTTGCCACGAAAGGATCTGCATGAGGCATCATAACGTCGGGCTCTCCGTTTGCTTGTTTATAATCTGCCGGGCTGAAAGTGATGGGCGCATTCTCCCACTCCGCCTCCTCGAATGGCTGCTTCAAAGGTCTGTTCTTGTCAACGGTCATCACCTGCCGAGTATACGCCTTACGGCCTCGAGCGCTTTGGCCTCTGGAATGCATACCACTTGAGATCATGTTTATTGTGCCTGAGGGCAGAGGTATCCCAGCATAGCCTACCCCTTTCTTGTCTTTTTGGTTCTGGGTGGCAGTTCTTTGCCCTTGGCCTCACCTATTGAACTGGCGGCCCCTGTTCGCTCTGCCTTGCTCAGAAGGATATTGATTATCATGATAGACGTCCTGTGCATTGCTGAGCTGGTACCTCTGCCCTTGAGGTCGGTCATACCCCTGCACAAAGTGAGTTTGAGCTAGTTGCTGGGTATAAGGCTTCTGGACATATCCTTCTAATTTCCCATTGTGACCTAAGAACTCCAGCTCGTCCTTTAAGTGCTGGCAATCTTCTGTATTGCGACCGTATACACAATGGTAGTCACAATGCTTGCTCTTGTCTGCTCTCTAGGAATCATGCAATGGGGGTAGGGGTCTTCTAATCCAGTGTTGGATTTGTGCTAGAATTTGAGACCTTGGCAAGGTCAGAGGGATGTAGTTAGCATATTTCAGGAATTCAACTAGCTTCCCCCATTGCTCATTGACTTTTTGCTTTTTCTTTTCCTCTCTTCTTGGTAGCTGTTCATTGCTTTTGCTCTGTTTGTCATCAACTCGTCGCTTGGACGACTGGAAGTCTTCTAACAATATGAAGCTAGCCGACCTGTCATTAACTTCGTTCCACGTCTTTGGTGGGTTTTCTAGCAGGTCATCTAGGAACCGGCCACATTTCAGACCATGCTGCAAGGCAAACAAGTAGATTGTATCAGGGACGTTATCAATGTCTAAGGTGGCTTTGTTGAATCGCTGCATGTAGTCCCTCGGAGATTCCCCTTCCTTCTAATGAACTTGCATCAGCTCGGTCGCTGTGCGTTTGATCTCCCTCTGGCTCACAAATTTGTTGGAGAATAGCTTGGCGAGCTGGGAGTACGAGTCTATAGAATGTATGGGGAGTTTGTGATACCATCTTCTGGCTGTTGACTTCAGTGCCGCAGGAAACACTTTGCACATCACGGCATCATTGGCATTTTAGATTCTCATGATGACTTGATAGGTGTGCAGATGCTCATATGGATTGCCCGAGCCATCATATGTCTCTAGGTGCGGAATTTTGAATCCCTCTTGATACGGTTCTGCTGTGATGGATAGGTTTAGTGGAGCACTATCCAAATTAAGGGTCTATTGGTGCGACTTGGGACTTTTCAACTCGTCAATGGATTTTTGTACATCCTGCAGTTGTCTTTCAAGGTTTGCGTTCTTTCTCATCAGTTCTTCACTATACTTGGACGAGCTGGGCTCGTTATTTAGTTTCCCACTTCTTCTTGGTTTGGTCGGCACTACTATATTACTCAGGGCAGGGGAGTTTCGAGTTTCAACAACAGCTGTTGGCTGTGCATCCCTGTTCAACAAAGGAATCAGGGGGTCATTGGGGATCAAGCGGACAAGGATTTTACCCATTGCCATTTTGAGAACTCTGGTTCTCTCTTCAAGCTCGGTTGTCTGAGCAGGTTCAGTTGACCTTTCAGGTCGTTCATGTTGTGAATTGTATGGTCTGGGATGTCTTTGCCTTGTCCTTGTTGGAATTTGGAACTGTTTTGGCTGAGTTGCATACCCAGTTGGTGTTCTTTCATCATCATCTGTTTCACTAAGTTGACCCTGTTCTGCTCCTCCAACGAAAAGGTTTCTTGGCATTGGCCTAAAATCATTCAAGCCGAGCTTAGACAGCTGAGTGTCCTCCTGTTCGTCCATTTCATTTCTTGGAGGGCGACTTCCATTAAAAGTACGAACCATTTTGCCTTTCAACAGGTTAAGCTACACAACTTCCTGTTCAGTTTCCCACAGACGGCGCCAAATGTTTGGACAGCTTCATAGTCCAACACTGTTGAAGTCCTTAGCTACTTCTACACCTGAAAATCCCGAGGATGTTTCCTCGGGGAAAACACTCCGATGCTCAAGTCAGCAATACTCAATATTCTAAAGACAGATGCTTTCAAAGAGTAATTGCAAAGAGAGAAGCATAGAGATTTATTACCTTCTTCGAAGGTAGTTGGGGGGTATTTATAGCCCGAAGTGCTGACATGCATCTGCACATGTAAGCCTCTCATTGGCCCACGTTTTACTGCCCACGTGGGCATGTCTCATCACCTTGGGCCCATGCATGTGTGATTGGGTCTGCAGCATGTGGCCCGAAATGGGTGTTGGGCCTAATCCCAACAAAGGGGATGGTGGACGTTGATGAGGCTAGCGTCGAGGGGATCTGCATTTTGAATATGATAACACTAAGGTTTGTTCAATAATTGATTTGTAGTTAATTGAATAAATTCTATTTTTTTTTATAATATGCAATTCCATAAGCAATGTGACCAAATTATGTTTTACTTTTGCTATAAACTATCAAATATCTTTTTTCTTTTCTTAGATGAATAAAAATTTTTATACAAGGGTAGTCTACTTATAAACTTAGAACCACATGACAAATATATAAATCTTAAATAGTCACTTCACAATGCTCACAATATCCTTACAGATAAATTATCAAGTATCTAACTCTGCCATTCTATATTCCCATATTTGATATATTGTTTATGGCCTCATCATTTCTTGTTTAGGAGATTAGTGAAATACACACAATTGTATCTTCTCTTAAGAGAATTGTAAAGATGAAATGTACACCTTAATTTGATCAAAGTTGCTTTGCCTTTGTTTCTCTGAGCGAGATAAAGATTGAGAGAATCTTATTCTCTCATTTCGTGTTATAACTTGTGAGTTATAAGCCAAGAGCTATTCTTTTATAGTTTAGTTTAATTAGTATTCTTTTATTTTTTAATTAATTGTCATCTTAAGAGAAAAAAGACATATTGCACTCCACAAGTTAAGGTTGACTTGGTTGAAACTTGCTTTATGCAAGTCCCATGTTTTCTTTGTAACAAATTGACAAGAGTCTGAAACTTTATTTCAGGCTCAGTTTAGCCGTCATTTCATTCTTATTTCTTTTAAGAAAACCATTTCTGCTTCCATGCATAAAGTTTGCAAATGTGTTTTAACTGATGTAGTTTGTGATTGGTGTTATCACATTCTGTGAATGCAGTTCATGGAAGGGGCTTTCCTTTTCTTTAGGGTTGAAGCAAAGGCATGGGAGCTAGCTGGTAAGTGAATCCTATTAAAGTAAGAAGATTAGATTATCCTGGATTATTGTTTTATTTATCTAATTATCTGGTTCCTTTCATCCTCCTTAGGCTTTAGGTGTAAGGTTAGTACTTGATGCTGTAGACTTTTGTGAAGATTTTTTTTTCTTTTTTCTTTTTTTTTTTTTCAATAATGTTGAGGCTATGGACAATGTCAAGATCATCATCAAACTTACTTTGATTAGAAAGGCACAGGCAATCTTAGAAATTTTTAGTGATAATAAAAGAGTTGAAGTACGGTGAAAACTATCACTGATTGCAAGAGGCCAACATGGTAAAGATTTCTAAAAGATATTAAGGTCTTATGCCCCACAACTTTGCTTATCCATCTTTTTTCTGGCTCTGGCTGACTTTTATGTTTCAGTGGACAAATTTATTTATTCACCCTGATTATTTATCATTTCATTATTCATACATCATTTTTGGTGGAATTTTGGAGTTTCTATCATGAATTAGTTAGCATATCTAACCTTAAGATCAATCATTTACTAGTTGATTTTTCTTCTATTTTTGTTTTACTTTAATTGTTTATTGTACTTTGTGTTTGTTAGTTATGCCTTTTCTTTTTTAATTGAAACCTAATTCCAATATTCTTTATTTTGCATACTAAATGGATTTTGACTATTGAGTGTGTATATCAATTCAACATGGTGGAATCAAAAGAACAACTTCTGTAGAATGCTAACAATTAGTTTGACATTATAATAGTTAAGTGCTGTTTACTTGACACCAAAATTGATAGAATTGGATTTATTATTTGCACTCCTTTCCTGTTTTCTTGAGAATTTATTAACTTGAGAATGTGCGCGTGGTGAGAAAGTTTTAAGGCTTTAGTTCTTTAGTAGTACATTGGTGATTTGTTAAGTTCCATTTTTTTATATAATTTTGCTTATTTTCTCAAGACTGTTTTTTCCTATTTCTTACCTCTATTTCTTTTATTAAAGGAAACAAATTGGCTTGGTTGATGATGCAGAAAAAGTGTTGAGCTGAAAAATAAAATTGGCAATGGTTAATTGCATCTACTTTGGCTTTTGACAGGTGAGGAAAAAAAGAGGTAAATTTCCCCCATCTAATTTGGTTCTTCCTCTATTAAGGTGTTAAAAACTGTGGTTTATATTGACTATGAATGTAGAAATTAGGATGAATTAAGATAGTTTAGTTTTTTATTATTAAAAGTTATTGAAAACAGATGTCCCTTTCTCCTAAATTAAGTGTTAGGCGATTCAAAATTGTTCATCTGTGTTTGGTTTGGTTTGTTGTTATCTTATTTGATTTACTTGATTTTAACTTCCTTTTTTTATTTTGGGTTGTCTTAGCTGAATGGTTCTTTCATTTTGGGTTGCCTTACCCTAATGACTCGTTGAGGCAAATTTAGGTTTCTTTTTTGTTTGTTTTGAATTAGTTATTTAATTTTAAGAAATTTCCTTTAGCTATCTTTTTTTCTGGATATTTCCCCTTTGTTTGTTGCATTTTTGCCTTTTTATTATTGCTTTCGATTCGAATGGAGGAGCTAAGGTTTGAGGAAGTTGGGTTTTGTCAAGGGGTTACATTTGAACAAAAAGAAAGTTGTCGATATCAGAAGGAAACAGAAGTATGTGGGTTTTGTAACCTTGATTCCAGAAATAGGTGGGTTTTGTAACCCTGATTCCAGACATGACAAATAACCCCAAACTAATTCTTTGTTGATGATGCTATGTTCATGAAGGAAAGTTTTGTCTAGTTAGGCTTACAGAATTGTACTTGTGGTGGTGTTGTTAGGAAAATTACCTATGGTAGTCATTATGAGGTTACCGATGTTACAAATCATCATGCTTCACATTGAGGGGGGGGGGGGTGGTGGGGAGAAAGCTAAGGAGCCTACATTTGATGCTAGTTTCACATATGATAACTTAACACGAACTCCCAAAAGTCTTAATGCATGGTGTTGATAATGAACAAGGTGGTGTTAGCCTGCAACATTTGAAGGGCACCTAGTGGGTGAAAATTTGAACGTAAGTATGGACACCGATATTGTGGCGTCCACACTTTTGCTGCATTAGCCAAATCAGCAACTACCATTCGATTTAGGTGGGTTCCACAAATAGAATTTGTCTGCCAACTCAGCCTCACATCTAATTAATCATTCAATATTAAAATTCAAAAGGTGGTATATTAATTAGAAATTTTTAAAAAATGATAACTTAAAAAAGTTTTAATCCTTTATGTGTAAAATACCCTTAAGCAAATTATTATTTCAGATATTTGGAGTTAGACCGCTTGGGTCATAAACTCAAAATTTCCATTTTGATTTCCCCCAATCAAATTATTATTTTAGACATCTGCAATTATCAATTTGTCCCATAAATAAATTCGAAACACTGGTTTTAAGCCTTAAAGTGTGCAATCCAAGGCCAGGTAAATTGGGCTTTCTTTAATGTACACAAACACCCCACGGAGCGGGGTGGAACAAGCTAATAAAATAAATCTGTCGGGTAACTTTTTTTTTTTTTTTTTTTGAATATGGGGGAATTATGAGGGAGGGGGAATATTTTCATGTGGTTGATGAAAGTTAAATTTTCTATCAATTCAACCTAAGTACTAAGATTTGAGAACGAATGAAGTGGTTCAATCATTTGAGTAATTTAATCAAAAAAGGCGTGGTGAACTGCATAGAAACATTATTTAGGTGTGGGTGATGTCTAATCTTTCTTCCCTTGCAGAATCATTGAAATCTGAAGGCCTCTACTAAATGCTTGGTTGAAGAGCAGACGTGTTTGGAACTCTGAAATGAATGGGAGCCATGACAGTATGTGTTTACACCATAAATTATAAAATTTTAAATTAATATCACGTGTAAAATATTTTTTATTGGTTGGAGGAGATTGAGCCATGTCAGATTTTGATTCTAGGCCCCATGACAGATCAACACTTGTGTTGGCAAAAGAAGAGAGGTAAAGATAATTTTTTATGGAGTAATTATTTTATGGAGTAATTATTTTCTTGAGACAGAAAGGGATAATGGGAGCTGAAAAATAGGAGAAGATTGCAATAAAAAAGGGGGTTTTATCTGATAAGAATACATGTGACGAAATCTGCAAGGAGATTAGACCAGGTCAAAGGGTGAGTTGTTCCACTACTTCAAGAAACCACCCATGATTGAGTAACTGCAGAAAGTGGAAGTTACTGTCGGCACAAGGAGAACAGAAAAGAAATTTTGGAAGGGAAAACGGAGGGCCAGCCCTACTCAAACATCTGCAAATTTTCAGACTTTATTTTCTCTGCAATTTGCTTCTAGATTTCGAATTTCAGCACAGATTCCAGTAGAATTAGGTTGTTTTTCATCATTCCAGTAGGCAAATTAATTCATGTATTCAGTTCAACAATTTCCTTTCATGCAATAAACTTCAATCTTTCAAGTTTATGCAAGGTATTGTTCTCTTTCCATTTGCAATTAATTTAATGTTTATGAGAAGTAGCATTTTATTCAATGATTACTTATGTGGTGTTCATACCTATTTTCAACCTCAAGCATGGTAGTTTAATTACTGTTCACGTTAATTTTAATGTTAATTAGGATGAAGTCTTTAATTCTGCAACATTTTAATTTCCAGATCTGCCAGTACATAGCATTTTAATTTAATAATAAACATGTTTAGTTTAATTTGGGTACAGTTTTTCTCACAAATTTACTTTAAATTGCAGGTTATTTAGTTCAATTAGAATTTGTTAATTTTAAGTCACGGTAGTGTTTAAGTCCTTGGAGTTATTTAAGGCAGATTTCGTAACCAATTCTGCAGGAAGGTATCCCTCCCTCTTGCAAAACGTTTGAAGGCACAAATTTCATTTTAATCCAATGTCCTTCCCGCCATCTGCAAAGAGGTCGACTGTGAGGAAAGAGAGGGTTGTTGGGAAAGTCCTCCTTTCTTACTTTCAGCAAAGTAAGTGGCACGTCCGCATCCAGATTTCACACGTGTGAGGCAACTAGAGTATTTTTGGGGAAACAATCCTTTTTTTGGCACGCCTAGTGGGACATCACCATGTCTTACTTACATTTTTCAGATCCGTTGTTCTTTTTTCCAAGAAAAAGTGCAATTATGCCACCAAAAAGAAACGTTGGGAAGGCTGCCCAGACTTTACAGATTGGGCTTGGTGAAGTCAGTCCAGCACATTCAGAAGGGGAGAATGAGCCAATCATTCCACCACCATTGTCACCAATACTTGGGGAGCGCTCTTTTGTCAATCTTACCTTCAACAAGGATAGTGAATCTAGAGATGATGTTGCTCAATCTAGTGATTCCCTTATGACAACTGTGTCAGAACAGATTAGCATCATGAGGCGCACACAGTTGGAATCTAAGACAAGAGCTCAACAAAGAAGCCAAGAGGTTACTAGACAGTTGGATGAGTCTTTTCAGAATCTGGCTCAGAATTTGGCCCAAAGTGTAGTTCAAAGTGTGGCCGACATGCGATGCTCCAATGAAGAAAGTGCCAGAATCTGACGTGAGCAAAATGCCAAAAATTGGAGGGCTTTCCCAGCTGAAACGGAACAAATGCAAGAGGCATTTCGATGTGCCAGAATTGAACCTCAGCCACAAGCAGCAGATCTTCAAAGGCAAAATCAGAATATTCCAACTCCAACACTTGGTGGGCAAGTTAATCTACCACAGCCGCCTCCCCAGATTCAGCAGGCAGCAAGCAGACCAGCACAGCTAGATCCTGTTGAGGCTGCATCACGTGTAGCAGAACTGGGTAATCACCAGCAGCCTAGATATCTGCCACCTCCGTGCCGACCAAATGGAGGACACCCACAACATAATGCACCTTTACTAAAGGAGCATTTTCAGCCTTATGTGCCACCCATGCAATAGAATCTTCAAGGTCTGCCAGGACAGTACATCAATCGTGATCAAATCATCGACATGGTGCAGGAGGCTTATGGTCAAGTTTTGAGGCCTCTAGTCAGACCAGCATACAGAAAACCATATCCAGATTTCATAGACCAAGAGAATCCTTTTCCAAGGGGGTTCAAGGTTCCAAAATTCACTCTATTTTTTGGAGATGGTGGATATTCTACAATTGAACACATAGGCCGTTTCACAATTCAGTGTGGCGAGGCCTTCAGTGATGATAATCTGAAGCTCAGACTTTTTCCTGAATCTTTAGCTAGTACAACTCTTTAGCTAGTACAGCTCTCACCTAGTACCTGAGTCTGCCACAGAATTTAGTTTATACTTGGAGGCAGATGGAAGATCTTTTTCATATCCAGTTTTACCGTTGTGAGCCAGAAGTTTCAATGGTAGATTTATCTCGTCTGGTGCAGCGAACTAGAGAAACATCTGAGGCCTTTCTTGCTAGATTTCGGAAGGCCAAACTTAAGTGCAGAGTTGCCTTGCCAGAACAGGAATTTGTCAAGTTGGCACAAAATGGTTTGGACATTAAGTTAAGGAAAAAGTTTAAGGGAATGAAGTTTCGTGATTTCTTTGAGTTGTCTTACAAGATGGCTCGTTATGAAAATTTATTGCGAGAGGACACACAAAGGAAATCTACATCTCATGGGACTTATTATGGTGATGCTAACTTTGATCTGGACGTGGCAGAATTGGTGGCAGACAAGCTAGTCGTTTAACCAGATCTGATTAAAGTGGTCCAACAGACCGACAAAACAGTAAAACGTTATGTCAGAGAGGCTGGAAAACAATACACCTTTGACATTTCAAAGACTAATGAAATCTTTGATCACCTTAAAAAGAGTGGTCTGATTAAGTGACCGCCGGGGCATAAAATCCCAATGGCTGGCGAAATTGGAAATAGAGAATATTGCAAATATCATAATTCTTGAAAACATTCTACTAATAGTTGTGTGATTTTTTGGAATGTTTTACAAGATAAAATCGACAAGAAAATTCTTCGTTTTCCAGATAAGGCCAAAGAAACTATGGGAGTTGATGCATACCCATTCCCTGCCATGTATGTTGGGGTGAATGCAGCAGATCTCAGGAGCATTGCCAGAGACAGAACTTAGACATACTATAGGCACAGAATTGCAACTGATGATCTAAGGTGGGTCATTGAGGAGGCAAGGGCCCACAAAAATCAGGTCAGATCAGGCTCATACTGCAAGAGACAGCCCAGGAGGCATAACCCAACTCAATAGAAAAATAATGCAAATCAGGGAACTGCAAAATCTGGACGCGCAGAAAAGCCTAGGATGGTGAAACCACCACTTAGATCTCTAAGCAAATGATGGGAATGCGTGGTGCATCCAAAATTTCCTAAGGGTCAAAATCTAAGAACCTTAAGGAGGCGTTTACAACATAAAAGGGTAGCAGAAAGACATCGACAACAGATTGTAGACTCGGGAGGCATGGCAGATCAAGCTCAGCCGCTCCCAGTAAGAAGAAAATCAGTGTGGGTCCATAAAGAAAAAGGGAGCACATCTGGTCAGAATTCTCCAGAAAAAAATGAACCACCCAGAAGTCCAACATCATCTCCAGTTCTGGCTGTGGAATCAAATGAAGAAACCGGTTTGAAGGTGAAATTTGACATGTCAGTTGAAGCGAAAAATTCATTAGATGTAATCTGTTTTGGTGAGTTTTCTGTGAATCTATCTTGTTTGGTGATCACTCTTTCTTTGGTTTTTCAAGCAAGAGAGCAGTCAAAATCTACAGTCTGTCACCAGACAGATTTGACTGAGGAAGAAAAAGTCATTGAGATCCCAGCTAAGGAAGATGGTGGTATGGATTCAACAAATAAAATCATTTTCGAAAAACTAGAAGAGAGGATGGCTAGACATATCAGGCCATTATACATTCATGCACATTTGGATGGTATGCCGATTAATCGAGTTCTGGTTGATAATGGAGCAGCTGTCAATGTTTTGCCAACTTGTATTTTGCACAAAATTAGCAAATCTTTGGGTGATTTAATGGAGATAGAAGTGACAATCAGTGACTTTACTGGTAGAGTAAATTGCTCAAGGGGAATTCTACCGGTAGAATTTACCATTGGAAATAGAACTCTCATGTGTGCATTCTTTGTGGTTAACACCATTGCCATTTATACTGCATTGCTTGGGAGAGATTGGATACATTCCAGCTAGTGTGTTCCTTCAACTCTGCATCAGAAATTGATATTCTGGAATGGTGGCAGGACTGAAGTCGTGACAGCAGATGACAAACCATTTGTGGCAAATACCAATGTAGTAGAAGCTCGTTATTATGATGAAGATATTGGGATTATCCGTTTCTTTGGGATGGACCACTATGGCAGACCTTCTAGAATTACTGCTTGCACCAGATCTGCAATGGATAGACAGACTGTGAAGGAGTTGTGTGATGAACTATTTCGGCCCACAGCAATTGTTTCTTTTAGGCCAAGGGAGGAACCTAAAATCGAAGAAATTCCATGAAGAAGGATCGAATTAAGTACCAAAAGAAGGAGGTCGTGGAAGAGATCAAAAGAAAATTAGCGGCTTACCTTACAGAAAAACAAATTTGTGTAGACAGATCTGAAGTAGTCTATGAAGGTGAAGAGGAAGACTTGAAGGATCAAATAACTTTGAAGGAATTAGATTTGGCACCAGCGAAACTCGATGATCTGAAGGCAGAAGTACAAGATCCCCTGGAGGAGGTAAATCTGGGTATTGAGGCAGATCCGAAAATTACTTTGATTAGCGGTTCTCTTGAGCCATGTTTGCATGATAAAATTATCAATATTTTGCGTGAATACAAGGATTGTTTTACTTGGGACTATTCTGAAATGCCAGGTCTGGATAGAAATCTGGTAGAGCACAAATTACCAATTAGAGAAGATTTCAAGCCTTTTAAACAGCCGCCTAGACGAATGTCTCCAGAAGTCACCTTGAAAGTTAAAGAAGAGATAAAGTGGCTGTTGAAGGTTGGTTTCATCATAACTTCCAGATATGTGGAATGGTTATCTAATGTGGTTCTTGTGGTTAAAAAGTGGCAAGCTGAGAATTTGTGTAGACTTTAGAAATCTGAATCTAGCAACACCAAAAGATGAATATCCTATGCCTATTGCAGATTTATTGGTGGATGGTGCAGCATGCCACCGAATTCTGTCATTCATGGATGGCCACAGTGGATACAACCAAATTTTTATAGCAGAAGAGGACATTCCAAAGACCGCTTTCCCTTACCTAGGAGCTATTGGTACGTATAAATGGGTGGTAATGCCATTTGGTTTAAAAAATGCAGGCGCAACTTACCAAAGAGCCATGAATGCCATCTTTCATGATATGATTGATCGTTTTATGGAGATTTATATTGATGATGTGGTTGTGAAATCTAATGAAGATGAAAAACATCTGGGGCATCTAAATTGGCTTTTGAAAGAATGAGGAAGCATGGTTTGAAGATGAATCCTTTAAAATGTGCATTTGGCATTTTTGCTGGAAATTTTCTGGGATATCTGGTGCATGAGCGAGGTATAAAAGTGGATTAGAACAAGGCAAGAACTATTATTGAAGCACATCCGCCAAGAAGTAAGAAGGAATTACAAAGATTCCTTGGGCAAGTAAATTTTCTGAGACGTTTTATTTCAAATCTGGTAGGAAGGACAAGAGTTTTTTCGCCACTACTGAAGCTGAAATCAGAAGCAGATTTCAAATGGGAGACACCATCAAACTGCCTTTGAGGAAATAAAGCATTATTTATCAAAGCCACCGGTCTTAGTGCCTTCTTTAAGAGGCAAACCTTTGATTTAATACATATCTGCCGTAAATGAATCTGTAGGTTGTCTGCTGGCTCAAGAAAATAGTAAAAGCAAGAACAAGCTGTTTATTATTTGAGTCGAACCCTGTCACAGACTGAAGTGAAATATTCTTTGGTTGAAAAATTATGTCCTGCTTTGTTTTTTGCTGCAATAAAATTGAGACATTATTTGCTTTATTCCGAGGTTTATGTTATTTCAAAAACAGATGTGATAAAGTATATGTTCTCTCGACCACTGTTGAGAGGCAGAATTGGAAAATGGGTTCTGGCTTTGTTGGAATTCAACCTGAAGTACATGCCTCAAAAAGCTGTCAAGGGCCAAGCCTTGGCAGATTTCCTAGCAGATCATCCGTGCCTGGAGGTAGAAAAGGATGAGGAAAAAGGTATTAATTTATTTTCCATAAGTCTGGTTCCTTGGAAGCTTATCTTTGATGGATCTAGCACAGATTCCATGGTTGGAGCAGGAATTGTTATTATTTCTCCAGCTGGTTTGAAAACCCAGATATCATTTCAGCTAGATTTTAATTACACCAACAACCAAGTTGAATATGAGGCATTGATTATTGGGTTGGAAGTGTTGGCAGAACTTAAGGTACCCATGGTAGAAATAATTGGTGACTCACAATTAATTTTAAAGCAATTAGAAGGTGAGTACAAGTGCACTAGTTTGTCTTTGGCACCTTATTTTGCTTTGGCAGTACAGCTCTTGGAGGAATTTGATGATGTAATCTTAAGGCATGTTACTCAAGATCTGAACACAAAAGCAAATGAGATGGCACAAATCGCCTCAGGCTTAAAAATCCCAGAAGGCATGATGAGCAAAATTGTTGTTGTGGAAAAATGAATTTTGCCATCTATTCACATGTGTGGTATGGCAATTTCTACTTGTTCCATAGACGTAACGCAGACAGATTGGCACTATTCGATCATGGAATACCTAAAAAATCCAAATTTTAAGGCCTCAAGAAGAACAAAAATGCAGGCCTTGAATTATGTTCCGTTGGAAGATGTTCTTTATAGAAGAGGACATGATGAATTACTTCCGCGCTGTCTTGGTCTAGCTGAGTATTGCCAGATTATGTCAGATGTGCATAACGGAATCTGTGGTGCGCACCAAGCTGGAATTAAGATGAGATGGCTAATTCGTAGACATGGATTCTTTTGGCCATCGATCTTGAGAGATTGCATCAACTATGTTAAAGGTTACGAAGCCTGCCAAATTCATGGACCATTATAGAAAGTTCCAGTGTCAAAACTCCATCCAATCGTCAAACCATGGCCATTTCGAGGATGGGCCATAGATTTGATTGGTAAAGTTTATTCTCTTTCAACTAGAGGGCATTCTTTTATTATTGTTGCCACAGATTACTTTACCAAGTGGGTGGAAGCAAAGCCAATGAAGAAGGTTGACCAGACCGATATTATTAAATTTCTTAAGGAAGAAATCATTCATAGATTCGGTTTGCCAGAAATAGTGACTTCAGATCAGGGGACAGTTTTTGTTGGTGCACAAGTTAAGGCGTTTGCAAAAGAAATGAGATTTAGGTTACTCACTTCAACCCCTCATTATGCTCAAGCCAATGGTCAAGCTAAAGCTTCCAACAGAATTGTGATAAATCTGCTTGAAAAAATGGTTGATGATAATCCAAGGCATTGGCATAAGCTGTTATCTGACACAATCTGGGCTTACAGAACTTCACAAAGGAGTTCTACCAAGGTAACTCCATTCTCTTTAACTTATGGACATGACGTTGTTCTGCCCATGAAGTTGTCTGCTAGATCATTGCATATAGCAATTCAACATGGTCTCACTTCTGGAGAATATAATGAAGCAATGATTCTAGAGTTAGAAGACCTTGAAGGTATGCAATTGACAGCCTTAGATAGGCTGCAAACGTAGAAATTACAAATGGCTCGAGCATACAACAAATGGGTGAAATCCAGAAGTCTGGCAGAAGGAGATCTAGTATGGAAAGTAATTCTGCCACCTGGAAAGAAAGACCCCAGATTTGGAAAATGGTCTCCAAATTGGGAAAGACCATTTTGTATACATGAAGTGCTTAGAGGAGGAGCATATTGGCTTGAATCATTAAATGGAGAGTTACATCCTCGAAAAATAAATGAAATCTACCTTAAGCCTTACTATTCTATGATATGGGAGGCTAGGGGTTCGAATACCATTGGTTCTACCTGAGACAGATTTAAAGTAGGATTTGTACAGTATTTTATTTTATTGTTTAGCATTTTATCATTCAATAAAAGTGCTGAGCCAAATCTGTAAGTAAGCCAAATCTGGCTGTGAACAACCACAGCAGCCAGATTTCGGCCATGTCAGATTTCAACCTGTAACAGAGTATGAACAAAAAGTACAAGAAGTAGATTTCCAGAATATGAGCCAAGAAAAAAGATTAACATTGAAAAGGTAGTTTGCATGGCCAATAGGCCGCAAACAATAAATTCAAACATGACAATGTGCAATTTCAGCCAACAAAAAGAAAATGAGATACATGAAAGGAAAATCAACAAAGGTTGTTTTGCGAAGTACTCCATTCTTCTCTCATGTTCTTGATTTCTTCAGCGGCTTCATTTGCAGAAGTTGTGAAAGAAGGTTGCTAATCCTTAATCTTGGAAGTAGATTTCAAACCAACTTCCATGTTTGCGCGGAGCTTGTTTCTTTGTTTTGCCAAACTCTTCTCAGCTTGCTCCGCAAGAGGAACCTGGTTTCTTAACTCTGAAAGCTTGGCTTCAAGGTTAGAAATTTCGTTTTTAAGCTCTTGGAGATGTTTAACTTGTGTGACATGAGCATCCTTTGCTGCCAAGAATTCTTCCTTCTTCTTAAAGATAGCGGCAGTGCTATCTGCTATAGATTTTCTCACAGATTCTGCAGCCGCTACTTTGTTCTCAAGTACCCGAAATCTCCTAATGAAATGTGTATAAATGGTAGTGAAATCTGCTCAGAACTTTTGTTGAGTAGAAGATAATTGTGGAGCTCGACTAAGGATCTGAGCCGCTTCAAAGGTAGTTGGTCGGTCTGGCACTTTGCAGAAATGAGAAAGATCACCATCAAAGAGCTCTTGCAGGGTCATAATAGCAAAGCTAATCTGCTCCTGGGTATGGAGATCGATATCTAGATTCGCTTCTTTAGCAACAACTTTCCCTTTGCTATCTTCCTTTTGCTATCTGTGGCAGATCCAGATTTAGCAAGAGGGTCCATCAACATGTCCAGCTGGGCAAGAAGTTCATTCTCCAAATCACCATCAATCATGGACACATTAGCAGCAACACTCTACAAAATTTAAAGACAAAAGAACAAAAAATAGCAACTAGCAGATACAGTAACAGATTTCAAGATCTAAGTAGATTTCAAAACAATGAAACAACCTCAATGTCATCAACATCAACCTGCCTAACAGGAGAGGCTACAGGTGTAGGGGTATTCTCTTTGTTTGGGTTTAGATCGATGAGTTCATTTGGTCTAACTGTTTTAAAGCTTTTGTTCGCTATGCGTGAAGAGAATCTAGAACCTCTAACCTTTGTGGCTGGTGAAGAACCATCGCTAGATTTTGTACGAGAGGAGCCAGAATTGCTTTCACCACTTTCAACAGATATACTTCAACAGGATCTGCTATGGCAGCAAGTTCAAGGGAAACATCTTTTGTTTTATTAGGTTGAGTCTCGGTTTCCATGGCAGAAGTGGACACTGAGGGAGAGGCAGACTTGATGAGTTTCTTGGCTGCAGATGGTTTCACTGTTGGCCTCTTGATACCTATAAAAAAAAAATGTTAGCAGATAACATGTCACAAAGTTGCAAGCCAAAGCGGACTTACTTCTGGTTCTTCGCTGCTTGGAGGGAGTATTTTCCTCCATGGAATCTGTAAGAGTGGTAATTTTCCTCTTGACTTGAGTTCTAGGAGCTCTCCTTAGCAGATCTAGCTTGCTGATCTGGACAACCATGGCAGATTCCAGGTCATCACCTTCATCTGCAACATCCTTTTCTTCAAATTTTTTGGTGAGTGGTCGAGGAGCCAAAGCAGAAATATTGTCCAGAACACTGAGGAACCGAGGATGGAAGTAGTCTTGCCACCAATTTCTATAGGAGGGAGTACAACTCGGTCGAAATGGAGGATCTGGCAAGATCATTGTCTGCAAAGTTTTTGTGATTTCAGCAAGCTTGGCGATCAAAATGTTTGATTCCCCAATCATAAATTAAAGAGGATAGCTGTGGTTGAAGGAGAATAGTGGCGGGAATGGTATGTCTTGGCAGTACCCAAGCTGCCGACAGAATTGGTTCGGTGCATAAAGCTCCATGCCACATCTGGAATTGAGAGTATTCAAACTACAGCCAACAAACAAATCCCGGGAGGTCACACAAACAAACAAAAATGCCTTGAAGTCTGAAGATTTGACATTGGCCTTGTACCATGAAGGGCCATGAGATCTGCTTAGAAACACAACGAAATCTGCATCAGATCTGTCAATAGAAAGAGAAGCAAAAAATCTGAAGCACTCCTCAAAACTTCTCTTGTTCTCTGCGACATTTTTGAACATAAAGCCATAAGTGAGCAGATTTCGAGCTGGTATAGTAGATGAAACAGGAGCAAGTGCTGGAAAATAAGAGTAAAGCCACAACTGTAGAATCCAAAGTGGCCCACCACTAATGCCTAAGGGATGAGCTGTGACATCTTGGCAACTCCTATATAAATAAGCAAGCAAAAAAGAACCCAGAGCTAATCGCCTACCATGTGTTAAAGCAGCAGCTAATGGGATAAATTCTTTAGTAGGGCCCTTACCAGCAGAACACACCATATATTTGCAGATTAAAGTAAGTAGAAATGAAATGTGCTCTTGTGCATTGACAGGCTTACTTTTATCATAGGCAGATCTTATAAAAACTAAATAAGAGGGCTTCAAATCTGCGTTGTATTCAACACCTAGTGGCAAAGTTAATAATGCTGAAATCTCTTCTGCTCTGCAAGGCAATCCAGTTAATGAACTAATATCAAAGAGGCTCGCAGACATGGCTCCACAGGGGAAATGAAAGCAATTAAAAGAGCCAGACCAAAACAACAAAGCCGAACTCAAGATCGGCTTGTCCATGGTGAATTTGCATTTGGATAATTGTATGAATTCAAACAAACCCACATCTTTCCAAATCTGGCCAAAAGCAGGTTCAAGGCGATTTATCCAGTCAACCCATTCTGATTTCCTCCAAGCTGGCCAAGCTCCGAAAGATCCACCCCATTTACTCCAATCGGGTTTCACCTGAAAAGGGAGAGGATGTTTTTTTGGCCGTGGGTAAATAGAGGCAAGAGGAGCTGGCGGGTGAGACACAAAGTAAGGACCCAAAATCTAGGATTTCTTATGAGGAACAAAAATCTTATTTGAATGGCATGGCTTATGGCGTTGGAGTATCCGGTTTATGTCATCTTGGAGATTTTGGGTTTGGAAGAGCTTAACCAAATCTGTAGGAGGCGATTTCAAGAAATGAGTGGCCTTGGAATCGGCCATTGAAGCAGATCTAGCAGATGGCAGCTCTTTGGGATGAAAGGACTTAATGCCAGCCATGGAAGGAGCAGATTCGGTGGGAATGGGTTTTCCTTCTTGGTCGCCGGCCATGGAAGCAAATTTTGCAGGGTAAGGTTGTTCGGTGGAATCGCCGGACATGAGCAAAGCAGATCTGCACCAAAAAAAAAAAAAAAAAAGGAAAAGGAGTCAGTTGGCAGTCACCAATAAGAAGAATTTTCAGGGGGACTGCTAAATATGGGAGCAGATCTGGGCGAGCAAAGTGTGGAAGAAAACAGCCAGCAATCACCTGTGGGGCAAGAAGAATTTTCGGTGGGGCTGCCAAATGTGGTGCGAGCAGATCTGGGCAAGCAAAGTGAAGAGAGAGCAACCGGCAATAAATCTTGAAAGATGAAGAAAATGGGTTGCTGATTTTGGCGGGAGTGGATCTGGAAAAGTAAAAACAAAAAAAAAAAGTGAAAGAAAACAGCCGGCAGCTGGTGGTACCCGTGGAAGACGAAGAAGAGAAAAGTGAAATTGATTTTTTTTTTAATTTTCAAAGAATCCTTGGTTTTGGGATTTGCTTTGAAGATTAAAAGATTTTTACTTGAAAAAAGGGGAAGCTGTTCGATGGGGCCACTGATGGTGAGAACAAAGTAAAAAAAAAAAAAAGAAACAAAAGCAGCCGGCAGCTAGCAACTTGAGGTGGCCCGAGGTAGCAACAAAATAAAAAAGAAGGTAAATTTAATTTTTAAATTTTCCTTACTTTTTGGGATTTTTAGAAGTTAAAAGGGGATTTAAAAGAAGAGGCTGGAGTTAATCTTGAAAATTGCTCCATGAGATATTTTTGGAGTTGCTTAAAGGGGATTTGACATGTGGCATAAGTAATTATGGTGTGGAAGACAATTTATTTAATTAAAACATTTGGATTTATCTTTATAAAATCAAGTGTTGGGAGGTATTGTTTACATCATAAATTGTAAAATTTTAAATTAATGTCACGTGTAAAATATTTTTTATTGGTTGAAGGAGATTGAACCATGTCAGATTTGGATTCTAGGCCCCATGACAGATCAGCACTTATGTTGGCAAAAGAGGAGAGGTAAAGATAATTTTTTATAGAGTAATTATCTTCTTGAGATAGAAAGGGATAATGAGAGCTGAAAAATAGTAGAAGATTGCAGTTAAAAAAGGGGTTTTATCTGATAAGAGTACATGTGGCAAAATCTACAAGGAGATTAGACTAGGTCAAAGGATGAGTTATCCCACTACTTCAAGAAACCACCCATGATTGAGTAACTGCAGAAAGTGGAAGTTACTGCCGGCACAAGGAGAACAAAAAGGAAATTTTGGAAGGGAAAACGAAGGGCTAGCCCTACTTAAACATTTGCAAATTTTCAGACTTTATTTTATCTGCAATCTGCTTCTAGATTTCGAATTTCAGCACATATTCCAGTAGAATTAGGTTGTTTTTCATCATTCCAGTAGGCAAATTAATTCATGTATTCAGTTCAACAATTTCCTTTCATGTAATGAACTTAAATCTTTCAAGTTTATGCAAGGTAATGTTCTCTTTCTATTTGCAATTAATTTAATGTTTATGAGAAGTAGCATTTTATTCAATAATTACTTATGTGGTGTTTATACCTCTTTTCAACCTCAAGCATGGTAGTTTAATTACTGTTCACGTTAATTTTAATGTTAATTAGGATGAAGTCTTTAATTCTGCAGAATTTTAATTTCCAGATCTGCTAGTACATAGCATTTTAATTTAACAATGAACATGTTTAGTTTAATTTGGGTGCAATTTTTTCTCGCAAATTTACTTTAAATTGCAAGTTATTTAGTTCAATTAAGATTTGTTAATTTTAAGTCATAGTAGTGTTTAAATGCTTGGAGTCGTTCAAGGCAAATTTCGTAACCCATTTTGCAGAAATGTATCCCTCCCTCTTGCAAATCGTCTGAAGGCACAAATTTCATTTTAATCCAATATTCTTCTTGCCATTTGCAAAGAGGTCGACTGTGAGGAAAGAGAGGGTCGTTAGAAAAGTCATCCTTTCTTACTTTTAGTAAAGTAAGTGGAATGCCCGCATCCAGATTTCACATATGCGAGGCCACTAGAGGATTTTTTGGGAAACAGTATGGCTATTGGCGCAAACAGTACGACTCCCATAATGTACTCGTATGCCTTCGCCAGCTCCTTTATTGAATCCCAGAATCCTAGTCTCTTCACCACTGGCCTCATTGCTTGTCCAATTTACAAAGCCACAACAAAAAATGAAAGTCAGTAATTCACAATAACAAAGCCAAGCAATGAAAAGAGGCCATCTGCAAAAGATTACTCACAAGAATAATGGCCCATCCAGTAGGCATGAAAGCGAGGATGGTAGCAAATACATCCAAAAGATTGAGGCCATAGAAAACAAATAAAATAGACATGACTGACAAGAAACATAAGAAAAGAAGGGCCTTCAAAAATCTGAACATTAGCTGGAAGTCGGTACCGAATCTTCGCCAACCCATTGATACCATTTGGCAGCAATATGTGGAACATATCAGGAATATAAAAAATCAATGTGTGCCAGTAAACAAATATTTCAGACAAGAAAAATGATTCAAAGACAACTTTTTAATATTATTTTTTGTATAATTTTACATAATATTTAAATAATTATTTTTTTTATTCATTTAGATTTTGTGATAGTAACTATATTTACTTATTTAAAATAACACCTAAAAATTAAATAAAAATATTGTACAAAAAGATTGTATCTAATCACTTCCCTTCAGACAACACAGACTATGGAGTCAGAAGGCTGTTATTGACAGAAAACCTACATTATTTACAGTAATTTAAGTTTTAAATAATTCACATCATAGTGAGTTTGGGAAATTTGCTTTCATCATATTATGAGATGCATTTGCATATCTTCAAAACTAAAAGAACGTTTGCCATAACAATCCAAGATAGTACATAAACCTACAAAACAAATAAGTTAGAAGACCAATTAAGTCCAAAAATTTTAAGCAAAAATAGGGGAAAGGTAATAGAAATCTAAAATCGTCAAAAGCCAAAGGCAAGTAGTATTTTTTTTATAAAGAAAAACGTAAAAGAGATAGAAAAATCAATTTGTACCAGAATGGAAAAATCAATTTGTACCAGAATGTCTTTGCGGTGATGAGTTATATCCAGGTGGTAGACAATTTCGTACTGGAAAATAAACAAGCGGAATGCTAGAATAATCTCAAGCACTCTTCCCCTTGTGTTTGTGTGTTTGAGGTGTGCATGCTCTGTGTCCCACCATGCTTCCCAACTTTTATCAGACTGGATCCCAATACCTCCATGATTCCCCATCTAACTCTTCCAATATGTCCAGTCATCAACTGTTTTTTGCCAGTCAAAACTAGATGGATTAAACACAGAAGGAGCAAACAGCCATGATGCAACAAGGAACCACATGGACCATGTGACAAACCAATAAAGATTGGATGTAGGATATGGTTTCCCATAGACTGCGTACAAGACTAGGAGTATAAGCAGCTTCAAACCCTTTACGAAGTGACTCCGTGAGTACAGTCTATAGTTTTCGGCAAACTTTTTGTGAAAAATAACAAACCCACGACCAGTAGCTCGATATTTAGAGCCTCAATGCAAGATAGCTCGTCCGTGATAATGTGCCTTTGTTCCAATCTGGAATGTTAATAATACAGAAGCTAGCTGTAGTTGAATAATGATGAAGTCACCTACAGCAGAACGGAAGCCTTTTTCCAGGCCAATTTCCGTAACCATGGGCAGCAACAGCAGCGAGCCCAACTGGAAGACAGATTTGGTAGCCATAGCCTCTTCAAAGGCCTTGCTCTGATGCATGCTTAGACTTTGAAGAATTGCTCCTTTCAATCCACTCATAACCATGTATAGACGTCCATATAAAAATACAAAAACAATAAGCACAGTAACCTGAAACAAGATTCAGATATCAAGGATGGTTGTTGCAAAACCATATGCAATGTAGACTTAACAGTCATTTTTGACATTTGTTATGTAGTCTATTAATGTTATAGTTGAAAGTTATAAATTAAATAGTAATTTGGGATGACTATTAAGAAGTTTTTTGCTCTTGTATAATGCATATTGTAAAAGCAACCATCAACAAGACAAAAACCAAGAACAAAAACTATGTGTTTGGGCAGCTTCACAATCCAATACTATAGATGTCTTCAGCTGCTTCAACACCTGAAAATTCCGAGGATGTTTTCTCGGGGAAAACACTCCGATGCTCAAGTTAGCAATACTTAATATTCTAGAGAGAGATGCTTTCAAAGAGTAATTGTAGAGAGAGAAGCGTAGTGGAGTTAATACCTTGCATAGAGGTAGTTGGGGGTATTTATAGCCCCATATACTGATATGAGTCCATACGTGTACACATCCGATTGGCCCACGTGTTACTACCCATGTGGGTGTGTCTCCTCATTTTAGGCTCATGAAAACACCACTGGGCCTGTTGTGTATGATTCGGATTGGATGTTGGGTCTATTCCCAACATTACTCCTCCCTCAGTGTTTGGTTGATGAACTAGGTTGAAAGCTCCTTTGGCCCAACTTTTCACCTGTGGAATGGGGGGTAAACATTTTAGTATTCTGAGTGATCTCGCCTATGGCCAAAATGGGAGACCTGAACTCAGGGCGACTCACTAGGCACCTTGGGATAGACTGAATTCATATCGAGCATGTGTGGGTGAGCTGATGTCAAAGTAATCTTATTTATACGAGTTCGATGTTCATTAACGAGTTCAGCAAGTTCGCAAAGGCGAGCTTGCACGATGAATTTCTAACTTCCAAATGGAGTAGATCTAGAAAGATATAAGATCTCTTGGTAAGGCGTGTGTCATATACAAGATGCCACGCGTTATATAGTGGGATCATCTATACTAACGTGAAGGCGAGCAAACATTTGACGATCTGACCCACAACAACCTTTCAAAAGTTCTAAGGCGAAGTATTGAGGCCGCCATGCTATTGCAAGGATAAACTAAAACAAAACTAAGGGGGTGTGATTACTACACCGAGCTAAAGTACGCGACCTCAATCGTCATAATAAAGTAAATCCCTGGGATAAGGAACAAATTTGAGGAATTTGATAGCGACCTGATCTCTGGGGAGATGCGTTTTGTTGCGACCTAAACCTTGCCATTTGTTAAATTCAAATTTCAATGCAGAATGTGATCTCTTTAAAGATATGGCTTAAAGCGGTTAGTATCCCTCTGTCCTCCTCACAAAAAATGTTGGCTCAGCATTTGAAAAGACGTGACAGCTAAAGCCGGTGAACGTTAACACTAAGCCATAAATAGCTGCCACCCGTAGGATTTTAACTGGTTGTCAGAAAGGCGTGTATGGTAATCAAGGGCACGATCGCGTAACTCGTTTGGCATTTCTGTTTCTCCTTTGGCATTTCTCTTTCACCATATTCTCTGTGATTTTCTGCAGCAAAGGACTCCGATGCTTTTGAAGCAAATTTCTCAGTGGATATCAGAGGGATTCATGCTCAAATTTTTCAGGTAATAATAAATGGAATTTTTTAGAGAACTTAGTGAACTTCGAGGTAACCAAGGTAGGGAAAAGGAAGTGGGTGTTATGTCCGTAGAGCCTATCGCCATGATAGTGCCGCCGGAACTGCAAGACTTGCCGAAAACCTTTACGCCGGAGAGCAGTGCCAGTTCAAGTGCACGTGAGGGCTCTGGTGGTCACCATTCTTCGTTGTCTGAAGGGTCATCATTAGAAAGGACTTCGAGTGTTGGAGAAGGTGTGGGGGAGGGCATAAGTAGCCCCTTGCCAAAAAATGTGGACGTTGATGTGAATGTACCGGTGGTTATAGGTTGGGAAGGCAAGACCATAAGTGATAGACTAAGCAACCTTCGCAAGGCACCACAGACTTTGGCTGTTGGATTTAGGTTCAGGGCGAACCTTCACCATGAGGTAGTAGATAATGCCACCTCCATAAAAGGATATAAAAAACTGGAGGAAATAGTGAGGCAGTATCACATCCCCAAGACAATTTTGATCCGAATTAGCACCAGAAACGAAAGGGCCTGCACAATGTCGCAGACAGGGTGGATACCTGTGTATGTGGACCACTTCGATGCCGGCCTGCATTTTCCTTTGCCCGGGCTAATTTTTGACGTTCTGGCAAAGTATGAGTTGGCGTTAATACAGTTAACCTCTAATAGTATAAAATTTATTATAGGATTTATGTTGTTGTGTGCGAGGCTAGAGATACCTGCAAAAGCAGTTGTGTTCATATTGCTCTTCTTGTGCCGGTTAAGTACCACTCGAATGAGGTGGTACTATATTTCTGGGAGAGAAAAAATGATGATTTTTACTAACGTGAGGAATAAGGTCTCCAGATGGAAGAGACAATTCATTTTTGTCCGGGATACACAAACAAAGAGGATCAGTAATGATCTGGCTACTCGCCTCTCTGGGTGGTGCTTAGGTCATACTTATATGAACTATCCCACACTAACGCCTGACGACCTGGCACTTAAAGATAGAATAACGGACTATGTAGAGCAAAGGGGTTAATTGATTTGGAGGCCTTGGTTACCTTTGAGGTGCTCGTTGTGCATGGGTTTGTGGATGTCGCAAACCTGTTCAGTGAAGGTATATTTCTACTGTAAATTACAATTTCTCACCGAGCTGAGTCTTATTACATTTGTTTGTGCAGGAGAGATGAGTAGCATGCTTGAGAGACAGTGCAAACGAGCTCAACGCTCACAAACTCGAGGTGCAGGGTCTAGCACACATAAGCAGACGCGCTTTGATGAGTCTTATAAATGCTGTTGCAGGCGTTAAGCTATACGGTTGCCTTGTTTGAGATCGAGCAGGGAGCTTGCGGGCAAAACCGCGAGCTAAATGACACTTGTAAGCACTTGACATCTGACAAGGCAGGCTTGCAAGGTGAGGTCAATCGCTTACAAAGCTTAGAGATGGCCAACAGGGCTGCATCAACTGAGAGCCAAGCTGATAAGTTAGCCAACAAGGTCAACTGGCTGAAAGAGGAGCTGGAGAAGGCTTAGGCTGAAAAAGAGAGCGGGATCCAAGCTGCCAAGGATGAGGCTGCTCGTGCTGTAGATCACGCTAAAAGGGCAGAGGCTGCCAAGGACAACGCTCTGAATGAGCTCAACGCTCTCAGACAACGGGTAGTAATGGCTGATCAAGATCTTGCCCGCGCTGAGGAAGGGCTGAGGAAAGCCAAAACTTCACACCAGCGTTGCATAAATATCGCCTGAGGTCAAGGAGAAAAGTGGCTGGTTGGTGCTGATATGTTCAAGGATGTCGTAGCTGTGGCTTCCATGAACACCACAACGGAGATCCACAATGATGTCTGTAGAAAAGTATTGAAGCACTGACCAGACTTTCCAATAGGTGAGCTAGCATTTTTTGAGGGTGAAGAGTTTGACGAGGAGGGTAAGAGCCTTGCTTCCCCCACTGATACTACTATGCGGCTTAGGTGGGAGTTAAACGAAGATGGAGTGCCTATATGGCTTCTATCAGTTTTGGAAAAAGGGGAGGATTTTGAGAACCTACCCAAGTTCAACTCCTAGGTAGGGGATGCACCTAAGGAGGAAGCTGAACCCTCTAGCACTCCACCCGCACCTCAGCCTGTCACAACTGCTACTGTTCCTTCTCCAGCTCGTGCTGACACATCTGTTCCTGTTGATTTAATGGATGATTAGGATTTAGGCTTTATCTTTTTCTTTTGAATTTTTGGTGTTAATATTTCCATGTCTAGGACAAATTTTTGTATTTGCTTTTGTAACACATGTAACAACTTACAAGAAATACAACTAGACAATTTTTTGGGAAATTTTGTGTATTATTTACGTTGTTTTCATACATTTTTCATTCTCTTAGCATGTCGAGTAATAATACAAATTAACTGTAATATTTCTTGAGATTATGAATATTCCATGTGAATGGTAGTTGTCGACCTTATGAATTTGCTAATATGTAAGACCTAGGTCGTTTGATTTGGATGACTAGGTAAGGACTTTCCCAATTACGAGCAAGCTTGCCCATGTGCAAATATGCATTGGTGAGTCTAGCCTTGTGTAAAACTAGGTCGTCGACTTGAAACTGGTGAGGCCGAACCCGCTTATTATAAAACCTAGTGACGTGGCCTTAATATGTTGACTCAATGCACTCCAAGAAGGGGGGTGAATTGGAGTTGGAGAATTTTCACCTCTTTGCAACCACCAAACAAAAATTAAAGAAAGAGTTGAGAAGAAGAGCTTGCACAATGATTTTATAGAGGTTCGGTCCAACCACTTGGAGTTTAATCCTCTACCTTGGCTTCACTCACCAAGGATTTCCTCCACACTCTCCACTAACAAAAACAATGGTGGCTTAAAGGAGCCACTCAATCCTTTACAAGAAGAAGGGTTTCTCTCAAATCTCACCCCTTTACACTTAAACCCCAAAGATCCTCTCTACAGATCACTCTTGAAGGAATCAACACACCCCTAAGATCATTCACTAATAGCACAAGAAGAGGATTACAAACAAAGATCTCTCAAAGATTAAAAACTCAAGTTAAAGCTCAAGTAAGTAGGCAAAGATACTCAATACAATGCTCTCTAAACCTCTTCAGACCTTCTACCAACCATATTTATAACCCCATGGTCGAAAATAGCCGTTACTAGTCGTTGGGGGTCATTAAATGCCCTGCAGGACACAAAGCTCGAGTTGCAGGATTGTCAAGAGAGTCGGCTCTGCAGAGCCGGCTTACACTTCCAGAGCCGGCTATCCAGGATGGCACTCCATTCTGTTTTTCTCGAGAGCCGACTTTGGAACTCCGACTTTAAATACATTAAATAATCTTCAAATAACTCGACCGTTATGCATTAAATGCATCCTCACAGTCGGCTGCAAAGTTGGAGCCGGCTTTGTGTCTTTTCTCTGCGCGCGCCAAACAACAATCTTCAAATTTTTACCTGTGGAGCCGACTGCAGCTTCCAGAGCCGGCTCTCTGCACTTCCATTTCACTAGGGCTGGCTGCAGTTTTCAAGAGCCAGCTCTTTGCAGATATTCAAGCCTTTTTGGTCCATTTTTAAGTGCAGTCTAAGTTTACTTATTTTGCAATCTTTTGACATTTTAACTACACACTTAAGTGAACCAATTAGTCACTCAAATGTGTTTTGTAATCATCAAAATCATAGGTACAACATAATACACCATGTTTTTAATCCTAGATATTTCCTTAACCTCCTTCACAAGGTCTAGGTTTTTTCTTAGGAGTTGCTCGTTATCAGGATTATCATGCCGGGCAGATTTGTTAGTCGATAAACCTACTTCCATAGGAAGGACAACCTCAGCTTCGTAAGCAAGGGAGAATGGGGTTTCTCTCATGGCCGAGTTTGGAGTTGTGCAGCATGACCATAATACCTTGTTGAGCTCATAAACCCAATTGGAGTGTGTGGCTAAGACGCATGTCTTAAGTCCTCGCAATACAATCTTATTAGCTGATTCTGCTTGCCCATTTGACTGTGGAGTGTATACGGACGTAAAAGAGAGTTCGATACCATAATCACCACAAAATGACCTGAGCGCCGCACCTCAGAATTGAGGTCCATTATCAGCAATGATTCATCTGGGAATACCGAACCTATACATAAATGCGTTGGCTCAGCCACTGTATATGCAGTCATAATGCATAAAGTTTAATCAGCTGAAGAATACCTGCATAATATGGAATTGAATAGGAATTCCTCTATCTTCTTTTCAATTGTTGTGGACAACGGTTTGGCTTCTAGCCATTTAGTGAAGTAATCCACAACAACAATGAGGTGTGTACAGCCTTTTTTGCCTTTGATAAAGGGACCGAGCAGATCAACTCCCCATTGAGCGAAAGGCCAAGGTGATATGAGAGAACATAACATTTCCCTTATTTGCAAGGAGATTTTTGTTCAGTTTAGAGAGAAAAAGGGAGTTTGTGCAAATTTTTGGATCAGCTCAGATACCTAGCATGTGAATGTCATCAACGTTGAACTGGCAGGTCGGGCATTTTTTAACATAACTTTGCGCGTCTTCAACCATGGTAGGCCAGTAATACCCCTATCTTAGAATTTTTCTAACTAGGGTGTTTCCTCCTATATGCGTGCCACATACTCCTTCATGAACTTCTCTTACTGCATACTCAGCTTCATAGGGAGTGAGACAATGTAATAGGGGCATTGAAGTTGCTCGTTTATACAACTGATCATTAATCAGGGTGAAATGCACCGCCCTATGCCTAACTAATCGAGCATTAGATGGAGCCTCAAGCAATTCACCATTCTGTAAGTAATTAATCAAAGGTGTAGCCTAGCTCGGCGATGAGGGATTAGTACTCAATATTAGACACTCGTCCGGCAGGTCGATGTAGCTCGGTGCATCCAAGATCTCAACAATTGTTGTTCTTTGAGGATTGATATCTTGTGATGAAGCCAACTTTGATAACTCATCAGCTCATCGATTATCTGCTCTCAATATCTTCTCAATTTGAAACGAGGTAAAACTTGCCTTCATCTTGTTGACCATAGAGGCGTAACAATCGAGTTGAGGGTCTCTGATATCACAACTTCTGTTTACTTGGTTCACTATAAGTTGAGAGTCGCTGAAGACTCTTATGTTCTACGCTTTCAGCTCAGACGCTAACTTTAGACCATAAATGAGTGCTTCATATTCGGCGGCATTATTCATTGTCTTAAAATTAAATCTTAGTGGATGCTTAGATTTGAAACCATTTGGGCCTGTTAGCACTGCCCCTACCCCTGATCCTTCAACACTTACAGCCCCATCTATAAACAAAGCCCATACTGAGCCTGACAGCACGGTTTCTTCTATAGCCAGTGGGTGGCATTCTACTATAAAGTCTACTAAAGCTTGGCCCTTAATGGTTGTGCGTGGTTGAAACTTGAGGTCATATTCACTCAACTCGATCACCCACCCAATTAGCCGACCAGAAAACTTAGGCTTCTGTAATATCTTCTTCAATGGTAGGTCGGTGTAGATGACAATTTTGTGAGATTGGAAATAGGCCCTTAGTTTTCGGACAGTACAAACGAGTGCAAAAGTAACCTTTTCAACAATAGGATAATTTCATTCCGCACCTTGCAAGATTTTGCTGGTGTAACAGATTGGCTTTTGATGTTTGCCTTGCTCTTTTGGTAGAATTGAGCTAACTGCCTCATCTGTGATCCCCAAATACAAGTACAATTTTTCTCCTTCAATAGGATTGGACAGTAAGGGTGGTGACACCAGGTATTGTTTGAGCTCATTAAAAGCCTGTTGGCATTCATTTGTCCACTGGAAGTTTTTTGGCTCTCGCAAAACTCTAAAGAATAGGAGGCATTTTTCTGTCAACCTGGAGATGAATCTGTGTAGAGCAGCAAAACCACCTTTTAGACGTTGTACATCTTTTATTGTCCTAGGAGGTTCCATCTATTGCACAGCCTCGACCTTATTAGGATTCACCTCGATTCCTTTCTTAGACACCACATACCATAGAAATTTGCCTGATTCCACAGCAAATGTACATTTCAACGGGTTTAACCTCATTTGTGCTCCGCGTAGGTTCTGAAATGTTTCTTTTAGGTCGTCAATATGATCTTCAGCTCGCACGCTAGTAACAATCATATCATCAACATATACTTCAATGTTTCTGCCAATCTAAAGTTTAAAGATGATTTGAACTAACTTTTGATATGTTGCACCAGCATTCTTCAAACCAAACAGCATCATAACATAACAATAGATTGCATCCGTTGCATAAAATACTGTCTTTTCCTAGTCATCCAACCATAACTGAACTTGATGATATCCCGAACTGGCATCTAAAAAACTCATGCATTCATGACCAGCAACTCGCTCTACCAACTTTTCAACATTAGGCAACGGCTGGGGGTCCTTAGGACATGCCTCATGCAGGTTAGTGGAGTCAATTCACATTCTCCACTTGCCATTGGGTTTCTTGACTAGTACAGGATTGGACACCCATTGTGAATAGTTAACCCGCTTGATAAAACCTGCCTGCAACAACTTTTGTACCTCTTCATCTATTGCAGCTTGCTTCTTAGGGCCCATAAGGCGGTGTTTTTGCACCACTGGCCTTTTGGTCGAGTCTGTGCTAAGCTTGTGAACTGCCAATTCTGACGAAATTCTAGGCATTTCAACCGTTGTCCACGCAAAAACATCTTGGTTGGCTTTTAAGAACTCTAGGAGCTTTGCTCTTTCTTTCTCTGTGAGCTTAGTTCCAATTTTCACCGTCTTTTCTGGTTCATCGAGGTTTAATGGAATTGTTTCTATTGGCTCAACTGGTTCAGCTTTATGTTCTATGTTCTTTGGACGGTGGTCTATGTCAGAGATACTCATCGCCTGTAGACCCGGTTGGCTTGGTCTAGTAACCAGAGAAGGAGTTTTTGGCATTGCAACAAATTCAACTTTCTTGAAAGTGTCCTAGTAGCATGCTCTAGCCATTTTTTGGTTTCCTTTGAACATCCCTACTCCATGAGGAGTTGGGAATTTCATGTAGAGGTGTGGCTGAGAAATGACAACTTTTAGCTCGCAAAGAGTGGCTTTCCCAATTATGGCATTGTAAGCTGACTCCATCTTCACCACCAAGAAGCTGACAAACGCCATCCTAAATCGCGGCTCAGTACCCATGTAGATTGGAAGTGTGATCACCCCTTCAACTGGGACGGGCTGATTATCAAACCCATATATAGGCCCTTCATATCTCTGCATGGAAGCTGGGTTTAATTGTATCTTCTGGAAGCAGCTCCAATATAAGATGTTGGGAGAGCTGCCCATATCAACGAAGACTTTATTGACGTTATGATTACCTATGTGAACTATTGCCACGAAGGGGTTAGCATGGGGCATCACCACATCAAGTTCTTCCCCTAATCGTTTATAATCAGCAGGATTGAATGCAATGGGTGTATTCTCTTAGTCTACTTCTTCTTAAGGGCCTATTTTTGTCTACTATCATTACTTGGCGAGCATAAGCTTTACAACCTCGGGTCCTTTGGCCTCTTGAATGCATGCCACTAAAAATCAGGTTGATTATGCCAGAAGGCGGGGGTATCCTGTTGTAACCAACCCCTCTATGGTTTTTTTGATTCTCTGTAGAGGTTTTCTATCCCTGTCCTCACTGGTTGAATGGACGTCCTCTGTAGGTTCTGCCAAACTCAAATGAGTACTGACTCCCTTGATAAGGATTTTGATTGTTGCCGAGTTGATACCCTTGCCCCTGAGATCGGGAATATTCTTGCACAAAGTGAGTCTGATTGGGTTGCTAGGCGTAAGGTTTCTGTACGTATCCTTCCAGTTTTCCATTGCGAGCTAAGAATTCCAGCTTGTTCTTCAAGCTTTGACAGTTTTCTGTGTTATGACTGTATCCACGGTAATAGTCACAATATTTGCTCCTGTCGGCTTGTGGGTACTCATGCATCTGAGGAGGTGGTCTCTTGACCTAGTGTTGTATCTATGCCAATATTTGAGACCTTGACGAGCTCAGTGGAATGTAATTGGCATATTTTGGAAAGGAAGGTGGCTTTCCTCTCTGCTCACCAACTTTCTGCTTTTTCTTTTCTTCCCTCCCTTCTGGCTGTTTGTGCTCCTTACTCTGTTTATCGTCAGCTCGTCATTTAGATGACTGGAAGTCTTTTGACAATATGAAGCTTGCTAACCTGTCATTTACTTCGTTCCATGACTTTGGTGGATTCTCTAGCAGGTCATCCAAGAACCGACCAGGTTTTAAACCATGCAGTAGGGCAAACAAACAGATGGTGTTAGAGACATTATCAATGTCTAGGGTGGCTTTGTTGAACCTTTGCATATAGTCTCTCAAAGATTCTCCTTTCTTCTGGTGAACTTGCATTAACTCAGTAGTAGTACGCTTTATCTCTCTCTGACTCGCAAATTTGTTAGAGAATAGTGCGGCGAGTTGGGGGTGCGAAGTTATAGTGTTTAGAGAGCTTGTGATACCATCTTCTGGCAGTGGATTTTAGTGTTGTGGGGAATACTTTGCACATCATTGCATCAGTAGCATTTTGAATTTTCATGATGGCTTGGTAAGTGTGTAAGTGTTCATCCGAGTCGTCGGAACCATCATATGTTTCTAAATGGGGAATTTTAAATCCCTCTTGATATGGCTCTACAGTAATGGATTGGTTGAGAGGGGCACTGTCCAAATCCAAGGCTTGTTGTCGTGATCTTGGACTCTTTAGCTCATCAACAGACCTTTGTATGTCTTTTAACTGCTTCTTAAGTTCTGCGTTTTTCTTCATTAATTCATCATTGTGTTTGGATGAGCTGGGCTCTGGATTTAGCTTTCCACTTCTCCTTGGCTTGGTTGGAACCACCACATTACTTAAAGCTGGGGAGTTGTGGGTTGCAACTACTACTACTGGTTGTTCACCCCTATTCAGTAAATGAATTAAGGGATCATCAGGGATCAGACGAGAGAGGATTTTCCCATGGCCATTTCTAAAACTCTAGTTCTTTCTTCCAGCTCGGTCGTCCGACCATCTTCCATGGGTCTCTCAAGTCATAAAGTATTTTGTCTGGAATGCCTTCACTCGACTTCCACCGGGATGCAAAATTGTTCTTCAGGTTGGGTTGCATACCCAGTAGGTGTTCGTTCATCATCTAAAGTATTTGATTGTTCTTGTTCTACTCCTCCCACGAAAAGGTTTCTCGACATTGGTTGGAAGTCATTGAGGTCGCTTTCCAAAAGTTGAGTATTGTCCTGGTTGTCCATATTGCCTCTCGGGGGGTGGTTTCCTATGAAGGTGCATACCATTTTTAGCTTGAGCTAGTTAAACAGCAATACTTTTTGTTCAATTTCCCACAAATGACGCCAAATGTTTGGGCAGCTTCACGATCCAATACTATAGATGTCTTCAGTTGCTTTAACACCTAAAAATCCCGATGATGTTTCATCAGGGAAAACACTCCGACGCTTAAGTTAGCAATACTCAATATCTTAGAGAGAGATACTCTCAAAGAGTAATTGCAGAGAGAAGTATAGTGGAGTTAATACCTTGCATAAAGGTAGTTAGGGGGTATTTATAGTCCCATATACTAACATAAGTCCATACGTGTACACATCCGATTGGCCCACGTGTTACTACCCACGTGGGTGTATCTCCTTATTTGGGCTCATGAAAACACCACTGGGCCTATTGTGTATGATTTGGATTGGTTGGTGGGCCTATTCTCAACACTATGCATGTTAAACTAATTCACCCTTGAATAATTTTAATAAAAACAAATGAATATAAAATAAAACCAATAAGACTACACAATTCCCTTTTTAATTACGAAGTGGTAAACTTGAACAAGCAGTATCACCATGACAACATCACAATAGTCTACGAGATTTCCGACCCATGTGATAAAAGAAAATTGGTTGACATACCATGCTACTAAAATAGAAACCAACTGTTGTGAAGGGGAACGAGAGCATTCTATAGAAATCAAACTGACTCCAAGCCGATTAACATCGCGGCTAATTGTCTGCTCCCCATTGCCATTTGAAACCTTTGCCTCAAAAGCAGATATCTGATTCATTCCTAAATCGCGCCCTTTCCCAACTTGGATGTACTCGTGATGTGTAATATAGCCCCCACGCAAGGTTGATTTGAACCCTGAACAAGTAAGTGCAGTTAACGTGTAGATCCTTCCTTTTAGTTAGAGTATTCTAACGAGTAGAGATTACCTGCAAATATGTCCTCACTCAAATTAATAACTTTTGAAGCTTTGCTTATACCACCATTTGTTATGTGGAAGATTCTGTCAAAAATATCAGGATGGCCATAATGAAACCTAACCCTGTAAACATAAGATGAACTGTTAGTGAAAAATGATAATGGAACAGAAATAAGATAACTTAAGAAGACATGAAGAGCCATAACTTTGGATTTGTTGATACATTTGTTAATGTGACAGAAATGTGAAAGCTCAGAAGGAGAGTAAAAACATCCAGAACCATAAATTTAGCGTTCTGACATCATTTGTTTGAAAGTTTTATTCTAACCTTAAATTCAAGTTAGACCTTTCTATCTAGCAAGAACTGGGTTGATGTTCGGTACTTTAACAAGGGATCAGAACGCAGGTTGTTTATTCCTCCATCTATTGTCTGTCACCATGTTTTTGCTTTCCACATGATAAGTCCAATTTGTTGTCTATTGGACTTAAGTGTGAGGGGAAGTGTTGAAAGATGGTAATGTCCCAAAGAAGTTAAGTTTCGGGTATGTTATGGGCCATATGGTTTTATATATGAGGTCTTTGTACCTATCAAATTAAAATAGCTGTTAGGTTGGATGCATTAACAATATGAGTCTATTTATTTATCTTTTTTCACCTGAGAGAAGCTTTGACATATTCTTGCATTCAAGAGCAGCCAAAAAGTCTGAAGAGGAAGTAATTTGTCTAACAGAAATAGCTACTCGTCCAAGGTGAAGAATAGCCATGTTACTGGAGATACTTATTTGGAAGCATAGCTTGAGGACAGGTTAAGTTGGATAAATCTATATTTGCACAAGCTGCATGTAGCATCATCAATCCTGAGGTCTCACATTTTAACTCCGGTTGAAACTCCGTTCAAGTTGGGAAATTTGCTTGGGTTGATAATTAGGGACATGAGAAAAGCAAATATGAAAGCTGGGCCTTTTTCAAAGCATTTAATTTAATGTACATAAAGATTTTTTTTTTTTTTTCTGGTTCATAAACCTCATAAAAGACTCATAAAATAGGTTATTCATTATTGATCAACTTAAGGTTTTCGCAATTTAGAGAGCTTGCATGTATATTGACAAAATTTTAATCTTGTTAATCTTCCAATTTACTGAAGTTAATAGTTGTAGCTTCTAAAAGTATTATATGTATTTCCTTTAAGTTTAAGTTGGACATTATTATTCATTGATTAATTAGCTTCTTATTTTAAATCCTAACACTAGGATGCATCAGGTTCATGGAAGTTTGTTTTGTGGATAAGTATTAAGGGATTTTGGTAAAGTCTTCTAGTTATGCTGGGAGAAAAAATTAAAAACTTACAAGATTTTCACAAACGAGTCCTCTAAATTTATTTGAAATTAATTTAGTTCTGACTTTCTTAAGACAAAAACAAATGAGCCGACTTTGATCAAACCATTAAGCTTCAGTTAAACAAAGCTGACTCCAGATTTTCTCATTTTGCAGAATAGTTTGACAGTTGTGGTATTGTAGGTTAAAAACAAGTGAACTCAAAGACCATATGAATATCTAACTTAAAACCATTGGGTATAGGTGCAGTAGCCTATATTATATTTAAGTCCACAGGTTTCTTTTAACTTATTGATATGGGATTCTCCCATTTGAACATCCCCCTTGAGTGGAGGTTAGGTTCCTATAGAACCCTGCATGTCGGCTAACAAGGAGGCCTAATAAGAAATGAGATAGGGCCAGTAAGAACAAGCCTTACATGTGCAGGCTAGGTTATGGTTGGCACTGCAAATGCACTATCAACAAAGAAACAAACACAATGAAATGAAGAATCAGGCTCTAAGACCATACTAGAAAAACCAGTTGACTTGAATACCATATAAGTGTCCAACTTAGAACCAATTGGCTATAGATGCAGCAGCCCATATTTATATTTTATATTATTCTGGACTTTTAGTTTGGAGAAACTAATAGCTATCTCATCTACCTTAACCATAATGCTTGCAAGTGTTTATGAGTTATTCTTAATTTATAAAATAAATGAGTGATGTTCTAAAACCATTTTCATTAAATATGCAAAAAAAAAAAAAAGGTTTGACTAATGACAAAATAGCCAAAATGAGACAAAAAAAAATATTATTTCAGTAATATGAATTAGAATACCACTCGTACTCTTTTGAGTAAAACATTAACCATTACTAATAAAAAAGAGGAAAAAAAAAGGCATTATCATTTCTTTGCAGTTTGTAGATGTGAATTATGTGATAAAAAGTACTACCAGTACCACCATCCAAGTTTAGTTGTCACAATTAATAGGGGTATCCTAATTTAGTTATCAAACTTTCTATTTTCGTAGAGAGATTAAATGCTTTCCTCCTATTTTACCCCTATTAAAAAGTTTTTGGCTGACCTACTTTGATTGTTAAAAGGACTTTTAAGGGCAAATATGGAATTTAAAGCCCTAACGATTCACTACAAGAATTCATAACTTGACCGACGAGAAATCATCTTGGGAAGAAAGGAAATCAGGTCGGTAAAACATCCTTCCAACTTGGATCATGTCGGAAATAGCTTTGTCGGTGAAACCAAGCTCGGTAATTCATTTACCGACATAGATGAGAATCACGTCAGTAAATTAACTCTTAATTACCGACAAAAAATATCTCTCAAGATTAGATCAGAACAGTACCACTGAAAATCTGCTCTGAATTCACGTCGATAATTTACCAACAAAGATCATGTCTGCATCTGGGGAGGTACCTCAAAGTCTACACTATGCCAATAATTCACCGAGGAGGATCCTGTCCGAGAATTGAAGATCACCGACAACGATCACATCTGGAACTACAAGGATGCTTTGCAATTTTAGCCATGTCAGTGATTCACCGAGGGGAGTGTTGTCCGAGAGTTTTAATTCATTGACTAGAATCACGCCTGCAACTACAAGAATTTAGGCAGCATTTTATTTAGTTTGAGTTGGAATTTTTAGGCGCCATTTTATTCAGTTTTAATTCACCGACTAAAGTCACGTCTGCAACTACAAGAATTTAGGCTGCATTTTATTCAGTTTGAGCTGGAATTTTTAGGTGCCATTTTTCTTTTCACCTATTTAACGACGAGAATAACGTTGGTAAATAAATCTGCAAAAATAAAAAAAAAAATTATTGAATTCATATTGATATTAATATATATTTTTTATTTAATTAAATTAATTTACAATTAAACATTAAGTAATTAATCTATATTTAATATTATAAAAAATAAATATATATAATATTACAATTTTACAATGTAAACAAAAAATCTTTGTATTCATTTATTTAAATTAAAGATTAAAACATAACTTAAAAAATAAGAATAAAATGACACAGTTAAATATAACCTAAAAAAATTAAAGAATACCTCAATAGATGAAGATTTGCATTAACACCATTTCCTAAGAAAATAAAGAAACATAAATTAGGTTAGTATTTATCTATAATTTCAACCCTAAAATAGCTCTAATCAGCATATAAATGAAGTTGAATGTTAATTAGCACAAATAAAATTTACTTACCCAATGATTATCTTCTAATGTTTCTTGGAAAACAAAATTAAGAAAAATTAAAATTGCAAATAAATTGATTAATAACACAAATTAATATTTAATTAAATAAGGAGAAATAATGGAAGAGAAAAAGAGAGAAGATTGAAAAGATATAAACCTAAAATTATATGAATATAGTGTAATTATAAGCATAAACAATTAATCTAGCAGCATTGAATGGAAGAGAAAGAGGAGACAAAGGAGAGAAGAAGAGAAAAGAAGGAGAAGAATAAGAAGGAAGGTAAGAAGAAATAAGCTAGGTAGAGTGGTGAATATATAAAGCAATTTACCCATGTGTTACTAGTCGATATTGAGTTTACTGAAAAAGATCACATAGGTAGGTTGCCATGGGCGGGAATCCAAAAAGGTGAAAATTTTGCAATTTGCACCCAAATTACCGACCAACTTCCCATTGGTATGTTTAAGTTATTTTACCGACTTAAACATGTTGGCAGCTTAGTTTGCTGACAAGATGCATCTGAGAAATTGGCAATTACCGACGTGGAGCTTATTGGTAGCATGGTTGGAAAAATTTCCCCTACCTTTTTTCCAGATTTTGTCAATTTTCCCTAACTTCCTTTCTAGTTTTCATCCATTTTCATGCCATTTTATGAATTTATGCAATATATTTCTTACATTTTAATCATTTTAGTGGACATAAATTTTTAAAAAACTTGACAAAATTCCCCTGCATATAAGATAAAATGTAATTTTTTTTTTAATTTGCATTTGTAATTCTACAATTTTGTTATAAAAAATGTAATAATTTGAAAATTTTTTGCAATTTGGTCATTTTAGTTAGAATAAATTCTAAAAAAAATTTGACAAAGTTTCCCCATACATATGATCAAAACCAATTTTTTTTAACTTGCATTTGCAAAAAACACATATATTCTACAACTCTACCATCCTAAAAACAATTATACCTTTTAAACCATAACCATAATCACAACCACAACGACAAAGTATGGCAATCACACACCATTGTCTTAAATACCTATGATATTCAGTTAATAATAACTAACCTCCAAAGTAGTCCAAAACTTCATACCTTTTGAAGTATGATCACTAGAGGTCAAGCAAAATAGGAAAAGATATCATAATGACAAGCTAAAGCTAGCAGTTTAAAGTACTAACAAAAATAAAGGCAACCATGCAAAGTGTGCAGATAATGTGCGTAGCAAAAAAAAGAAAAAACCTAAGGACCTTGATAGCCTGGATCAAAAACAGGATGGTATGCATCATCTTGAGGTGGAAACTACTGCTGTTGCTGCTGTTGATATTCAGGGACCATATGAGAGGTTTGTGTAGAATCAGTGGAGTAAGTGAAAGTTGAATTCATGCGAAGACCTGAGCCATGACCATGTGACGCTGTGGTGGGGCAACTAAATGATGACCTACCTGAGGGGAGATGCCATAAGCGACTAGAGTTGCTGCAACAGACTGTGCAATTGTCTGGCTCATATTATTTTGAGCTTGTGTCATCTAGGCCAGCTGCTATTGCATTAGAGCTATTTGTTGGTGTTGTCTTTCTAACACCTCATTTTTTTTTTTGCCTGTGCCTCGTTATAGTTAGACATCATCATTGTTGCTATTAAGTTTTCTCGGGGTTATCTCTTCTTGTAAGTAAATCCAACCATCTTTGGATTTACTTGGGAGCCAATCCCTGGCATGAAATTAGATGAGCAACCTCCAACAGCCTTAGCCCATGCCTCATTATCCATGTGTGGTCACGAACTAGCATCAGAGCCATGGCTCTCTATGCACTCTGCAACATAAGTATCCTAAAAAAATAATAGTAATAATAATAATGTTGTCAAAAGCAGTTTAAAAAGAATCTACAAAAAAAAGTAGACTTTGCTAAATAATTTAGATTAATTACATAAATTTTTTCAACACTTATAACTATACATTTTATGCTAATTTATATGTTATATACACTTATATATTGATGCTTTGCTTTTTCATTGATCCACGTTAGCTCTTGATTCTTTCTTGCCTTTTCTCTGAAAGTGTGTGTCTCCTTGAACTTCTCCTAATGGGGAGGTTGCACACCACCTCTAGAATCAATCTATATTTCAAAATATTGATAATGCAATATATTGGTTGGTATAAATTGACACAATTTATTGTTAAATAAAATTTAATATATATAATTTTTTATTAATTAAGCTTAATTACTATCCGCATCTCATAGATGCCAAAGCTAAAG